AACCTGGTTAGCCTTATATTTGAAATTCACATTCTATTACCCACAATTCCCAGTTTATTGAATAACCCTGACACTCCTTATTCAGAGCAGAATGTTATGTCACCTAGTTTAAAAATGGAACTTTATTGATCTACAAAGTTATCACCCTTCCGCGTCCTATTTAATATATTGTAAAATAGTTTAAAAGTGAAGACTGCCAACATGTTCACCCACAGCAAATTATGCATTGGAAACATATAATTTGCATGCTTATAATGTTGGCTGATCTGTATCTAATTTCCTTTATGCAGTCAGTCAATTTATTTTCTAAATCCTTTTATTCTTTATTTTTCAGGCGTCACAAATTTTCTCACAGAATAATTTAAGTATTTACTGCTATAATGTATTATACACGTCTTGCATTTTGATTTTATGCATCTTCACGTTAATCACAGATGTGAAAATGGGAGAGAGAAAAAAAGTTTTGCTTTTATTCAACTTTTTAATTGATTTGACTCTTGCCCGTTGATCTTCATATAATTAAATTGCTCAAGTATTCACAAGTATTTTTATTCACATAAAAGAACAGCCATTTTAAAAGATGGTTTATTTATTTTATTTTTTTAACTAATTTTTGCTATTTATAATAAACATAACATATTTCCCCAGGATCAGTTATACAAATCATGATTCGACTCACTGCCTTGAGTAAACAGCATTTCTTAAAGAAATATTGCAATAATTATCTAGATACTACTTTCTATATCTCAGAGTACATCAATGTGTTTGTTTGTTATATCAATGTTCATGTACATAAACTGAAGATGCACACAAACCCATCCAAAGCATTTTCTTTTAAAGCTCTGTTCAGAAATGAACCTTGGGTATAAAACATTATCCTGGATTCAGCATGACAGTCTCATATTTGGTTCCTGTCCGTTAGACTGTAAGCTCATTTGGGCAAGGCCCTCTTAACCTCCTGTTTCTGTATTTCATACATGCATTGATAGCATTAAATATACCTATTGTACAGCTCTGAGGAATATGTTAACACTATATAAATAGTAATTGTCCTGCTTTTTTGGGTTTGATCTCCAAGAATTAGAAGCACTTGCTGTGTATTAAATGAATTCAGGGCATTTGTGCTTCAGAAGTGCCCTGGGCATGGGTGGCTGCGGCTGTGGCTGGTCAACTCAGCTGCGGTCAGGCTAAGGTGCATGCACGTCAGGCTTCTATCCCTTTTCAGGCAAGGCCGATCCCTATTTTAAACTGGGCCTCAACCTGACAAATCACCAGTGATGTGCACAGCCTCACTGACGAGCCCATTGATGTTCCCCTAGACCTATTCCCAAATACCGATGTTGGGAGGTATGCCAGAATGTGGAAGGTAGGTAAATAGGTTACAATGTCCCATAATTGAAGAGGGAGGTGTTGGAAAATATTTTGGCATTTTCCCCGAAACTGCATTTTGGGGGCTTATTTACTAAAACTGTGACTCATGGATAATTGGCAATGGAATTGCAAAATATAGGCTAAATAAAGCCGTATTGGAAAAGATAAGAAGGAGCATTTCTCCAATCAAAATATTTTGGACTACAATTTGCAAATCTACTTTAAGCACACTCTTTTCAGTATACGCCCTAAAAATACACAGTGATTCTCCCTTCAAATAATGTGGTATGTTTGTCGCTATTTTATTTCACCACAACTTCATTAATGGCTAACTTAAAGAAGAATGTCACTTCTGTAGAAATTACACCATTGAACAAAACATTGGAAATCCCCTATAACTTGTGTAAACCGCTTTTTATACGGACATGCTCCATTTCCTTTTAAATTTATGTTGAAGAGTTAGAAAATCCAGTTCACACAAGCCAGGGCAAACATTGCAAATAAAGAAGGAAAAATAGAAGCATTGTCTCATTTCCCCAGTTTCTCTATGCTGACTGCCAGGTACAAAGGACAGTGCTTATAACAATGGCTGACAGGGAGCCAAGATGGAGGCGCCCAGTTGCAGGATTACGAAGTGTGGATTTCTAGTTTAAATTTTTCACTCTTTGCGAATACATATCTATTAAATATTCTATAAACAAAAATAATATTAAAGATCCTAGGAATTGCAGTTCCCCATTAATGATTGACTACATAGGGGTCTCTTGAAATACATGATGTTATCATTCACATAGCCAAAAGAGGAGTTTCTGCCGCATTGACCAAGTTAAACTCTGTCACATAATGCAGCAGCTAGTAGGAAAGTAATAAACTCAATATTTTCCTACAAGAAGGACTGGATGCGTGAGCAGCACTTAGCACAAATGAGGTCTCCAACAATCCTGGACAACTGATGACGTTGATGATGATGACGTTGCAGGTTGCAAGGAGTTGAGTGGCACCGAAGGAGCCTTGGCGCTGGAAACATTTGAGTACAACCTTTATTTTAAAAATATTTTGGCAAATGGGAAACTATAGATAGGGACAGACACTATAGCTTTCTGCATCCAGGTTTATATGACTATGGTCAAAGTGTTCCTTTAAAGCCCAATTCTCACTTTAATTTTCGTATTAACAGGATAGCTATCTAAAATGTAATTCTAAAGAAGGCTAAGCCTTTCCATGTATTTGTTTACGTTGTATGCCAGCCCCTCCTGGCACAGCAAGAGCACTGGATGTAAATTTACGTATCTCCCATGGTGCAGTAGACATGTTCGGGATGTTAGGACGTGTCCACATGACCATATCGCGGCCATCTCTGATGGCGAATGCAGAAATGAACGCCGAAGGAGGTGGACGGAACGGCCAAACAGGGCACCAAGATTTAAAAATAAGAAGAGGGGCTTTGCATGCTGGAAATACAGAACCACTTTTTTTGAAACGCGTTAAGTGGAGGTGGACTCTGGGTTTTATTGGGAGGTTTGGTTTTATTTATTTATTTATTTGTTTCAAAACAATTTTAATTTTGCTTTATAAGGAGGAAAACCTTGTATAGCAAAGCTGGAGAACAGAATAAGCCGATCTCCAAATCTACCCACCATATTTTTCCATCTCAAAACCTCCAAGTCTGAGCCAGCAATCTAAGTGGCTCAGAACCATGTGAGTAGGACCATTTATATGTATAAGAAAATTCAAGTATTTACTATAATACCCTATGGTTTTTCTTTCTTTTAATCCACAGGACAAATAATTTATTTACAGACTGTGGAAACCATTGTATTTGTGTGCTCTAACTATTGTTTATTTATATATTGTTTGGGACATTCTATGATGATGATGTTGCCCACACTGGGAAAAGCTGCACTTACTGGGCTGAGGAACTGTCACAACCATAGAAATGACAGTGCTTCTTCAGGTAGAGTTAAAAAAATTGAAGATTTTTGTACTTAAAAGAGACACTACAGCCATCCAGACCACTTCCTCTGATTGTAAAGTGCCCTGTCTGTTTAACCCTGCAATGTAAAACAATTGAGCCACAATAGTGGCGGTCTTCCAGAGGTTCCTTCTGCTCCCTAATGGAGTTTTACTGGAGGCCCTCACGCTTTGCATGAGCATGTTTAACATCTTCAAATTCCCCACAGGAAACATTGATTCAATATTTTCCTATGGGGAAACTTTAATGCGCGCACAGTGGTTGCCACTCATGCGCGTTAGGTCTCACACGTTGCAGAATGAGTACACGTAGGAATTAACCCCTTAAGGACACAACTTCTGGAATAAAAGGGAATCATGATGGAATATTGATTAAATATTGGAATATTTAAGGGGTTAAGGGAAGTAAAAAAAAGATTTTTCGACCCTTTACACGTTGGACTGGGGGCTAATAGGTTAGGGATAAAAAGTAGCAATCTGTAGAGCAGTGATAGAATCATTTGCACACAAGAAAATAAAAGTCAGAATCTTGCACTTATTGCACCACATCTTACTCATAGTCATAGACCTAGCAGGGGCACACAAACTGACAAAAACTGGGCTTTTCCAGAAACATCAAGCCCAATCCAAACCGACACATATAATAAAAAAAGGTAATTTCTGCATTGTTTCCACAGTAGTAGAGTGGTGGGCTTTGGGAGTGCAGATAGCCCATATATACACCCATTGTACAGAGCTACGGAATTTGTTGGCGCTATATAAATAATAATAAAATAATAATAATAATATAGGTTTACAATAACCATAGGGACTAAACCTAAAACCATCTTGCACCATAACCACTGCAATAAGCTGTAGCATTAATATTGCTTGGAGGGCCATTTAACATAGCTTCTGCTCCTGGGAACCCAGTCACTATCTCTCTTCTGTGTTCAAAGAATAAACAGTTAACAGAATTGCAATAGATTGAAAAAAAGAATTGCAAAATTTTGGTAAAACCTATGCTTTGGAAAATACTCAAGCTAGCTTTAGTTAAATTCCTTTTACACTGTTCAGATCCCACTGCACACTCCAACATGTCCTAATTGTTCAGATCTGCCAACCATACTACCATTTGGTATACCTGTGACTTCCTACACTCTAAATTCATCCGTCCATTCTGTTTCCAAGTTCCTCTGTCAAGATCCTCTGCCCACTTCAACCACCATATAAAGTGCCCTTTACACTATTTAGATTCCTGGGTGCACTGACACTTGTTTTTCTAATTTAAGAACCCTTATTTGAGATTCCACAGCTTGTATAACATTTAAAGTAGCTCTGGAACTGAAATATCTATCATGGAGCACTATAGGGATGGACACTATATGGAGCACTATATAAAGATGGACACTATATAGTAATGGACACCATTTGGGCCAGTATATAGGGATGGACACTATATAAATCACTGTATAGAGATAGACACTATATGGAGCACTATATAAAGATGGACACTATATGGAGATACACACTATATGGAGATACACACTATATGGAGATACACTGTATGTATGGAGATACACTGTATGTGGAGATACACACTATATGGAGATACACTGTATATGGAGATAGACACTATATGGAGATAGACACTGTATGTATGGAGATACACTGTATGTATGGAGATAGACACTATATGGAGATACACTATACAGGGATGGACACGGTATATGGAGATAGACACTATACAGGGATGGACACGGTATATGGAGATACACTATACAGGGATGGACACGGTATATGGAGATACACTATACAGGGATGGACACGGTATATGGAGATACACTATACAGGGATGGACACGGTATATGGAGATACACTATACAGGGATGGACATGGTATATGGAGATAGACACTATACAGGGATGGACACAGTATATGGAGATAGACACTATACAGGGATGGACACGGTATATGGAGATAGACACTATACAGGGATGGACACGGTATATGGAGATACACTATACAGGGATGGACACGGTATATGGAGATACACTATACAGGGATGGACACAGTATATGGAGATAGACACTATACAGGGATGGACACAGTATATGGAGATAGACACTATAAAGGGATGGACATGGTATATGGAGATACACTATACAGGGATGGACACGGTATATGGAGATACACTATACAGGGATGGACACGGTATATGGAGATAGACACTATACAGGGATGGACACAGTATATGGAGATAGACACTATACAGGGATGGACATGGTATATGGAGATACACTATACAGGGATGGACACGATATATGGAGATACACTATACAGGGATGGACACGGTATATGGAGATACACTATACAGGGATGGACACGGTATATGGAGATAGACACTATACAGGGATGGACACGGTATATGGAGATAAACACTATACAGGGATGGACACGGTGTGACAAAATGCCTTTTGTCCCTGGATTGTTAGGTGACAAGCTGCCCTTTGCCCCCGGCTTTTGGAGGAGCCTGATTGCCAGCCTCCTTCCTCGTGACTATGGCCCTGGGGTGTATTGCCATTTAAAAAGACTATTTGGGGCTTATTGGCTTCTAAAGACAGTTTCTTCCCATTGGAATCCATGGGAAGGTGTTCACGGTATATGGAGATAGACACTATACAGGGATGGAGATTGGGTCAGATCCGAGCCATCTGGGATAGGTTAAATGTGGGGTTCTGTGTAATATAATGTGCACTATGCATTTTACAAAAAAATTTTTACGATTTTGCTGTTAGTGTAAAATGTAGATATATTTTTTTTCGTACCTGGAGATAAATGAGTTTTACTGCAGTGCCCATTTCACCATTCCAGGATGAGAGGAGGGATTTCTTACTGTTTGCGTGAGAGGGTTACTGCTGTTAATTAGTGTTCCCACTTGGCTTCAGGTCCCTTTTGTCACAGTTTACCACCAGGTCCAGGGGGTGTGCCTCTGACCTGAAAACTTGTATATAAGGAGTAATAAACGCTCATTGGAGTCAGATCATCTTGTACCTTCATGAAGTTTCGGCTCATGTTTGGGGGATTGGAGAAACTACACTCTGGGGATTGCTATAATCACTATACTCCCCAGGGTATAATCACTAAGCTCTGCTAAGAGCTTGTTCCTGTTCCTGCTCTCTGGAATTCGGAGAGAGGTCGACCTGCTGGAAGCTGGACCCTGGTCCTGGGTCCAGAGTGGGTGGAGACGGCGAGACCCCAACCAAGCTGCGGCGGTTCGTGGGGTCTGCAGTGGTTATGGTGTCAGGCAGAGTGCTTGGAGTCCTCGGAAAGCACTAGGAGCATCCGTCGGCGGAAGGTACCCGGTCGGGGTGCCAGCGGTTCCGTTACAGTGGTGGCAGCGGTGGGATGGCGTCCTAGTGCGAGGAGAAGCAGCGCAGAGGCACCGGTAACATTTGGAATTACAATTTGAGGGCAACGCTAGTATTCGTACAGCACCCCTGTTCACAGCAAACATGACCTATCGCTTTGAGGGCGACGCTTACAGGGAGGAGGTCAAGAGGCGGTTAACCAGATATGGCCCGAATCTTTCGACAGAGGCGATTCTGGCAACCATGCGCAAGTTGGATGAGGAGAATCGAGCGGCATGGGAATTTGAGCTCCGATTGCGGAGATTGGGGCTGTGGCCAATTGATCTCTCTCCCCAGCGGCAGACAGCATCCCAGGGCGAGGAGATTGTCGGTCCCTCGTCCCTGCAACAACCATCATCACTGGGAGTTGAGACAGTCGCTCTGACTCCCCAGCGGCAGTGTGTTGTCAAGGGAGAAGAGACAACCGGTCTCTCTCCCCAGCGGCAGACAGCATCCCAGGGAGAGGAGATTGTTGGTCCCTCGTCCCTGCAGCAACCATCATCACTGGGAGTTGAGACAGTCGCTCTGACTCCCCAGCGGCAGTGGGTTGTCAAGGGAGAGGAGACAACCGGTCTCTCTCCCCAGCGGCAGACAGCATCCCAGGGAGAGGAGATTGTCGGTCCCTCGTCCCTGCAGCAACCATCATCACTGGGAGTCGAGACAGTCGGTCTGACTTCCCAGCGGCAGTGTGTTGACAAGGGAGAAGAGACAACCGGTCTCTCTCCCCAGCAGCAGTGCAAGTTACAGGGAGCCGAAGGTGTCGTCCTTCCTCCCCAGCGGCAGTGGGAATTACAGGGAGCCGAAGGTGTCGTCCTTCCTCCCCAGCAGCAGTGTGAATTACAGGGAGCCGAAGGTGTCGCCCTTCCTCCCCAGCGGCAGTGTGAATTCCAGGGGGCCGAAGGTGTCGTCCTTCCCCCCCAGCAGCAGTGTGTCCTACCGGGAGCAGATACAGTTGGTCTCTCTCTCCAGCAGCAGGACAATGTTATGGGAGTGGAGACAGGCGGTCTCCCTCTCCAGCAGCAGACTGTGTTTCAGGGAGAGGAGCACAGCACCCTATCTCCCCAGCGGCAGCTTACCCTACCAAGGGGAGACACCATTCTCCCAGATGGCGCAGAGGGGACCGTGGTCTCCGTGCCCGACCTACAGGGATGCTGGACAGCCTGTCCAGATCCCCAACTACCCTCACAGGGACAACAGGAGGAGGGGGTAAGTATGAATTCCCCTCCCCAGCTAACTCCTAACTTGGCCCCAGGGTTAACAGAGGAGATGTTAACCCCCACTGACTCCCATGTTCCCCTGGCTACTGAGCCGGACTATGTTCCCAGCACCCCAGCAGAAGAGCTGACAGCTGGGCAGAGTGCAGTCGGCCTCTGCCCTCCCTGTGTCCCTTGTCCAGAGCCTGATGTCCTGCAGCCTATACCAGCGGAAGAGCTGGCAGCTGGGCAGAGTGCAGTTGGCCTCTGCCCTCCCTTTGACCCTTGTACAGAGCTTGACATTCTGCTGGCTATCCCAGCGCAAGAGCTGACATCAGGGCAGAGTACCGCTGGCCTTTGCCCCCCAAGTACCACCAGCTATTTGCCCAGCTGCACCAGAAAGGCCGAGGATGCTGCATTTTTATCCTACAACCTGGAACCTACTGGCCAGTACTGTTTATTGTGGGGGGGCTACTTTGCCACTTGTTATTTGTGGGTGGGCTACTCATGTACTTGTTCACTGTGGGTGGGTTTATCGACTAACTCAGGCACTGACCGACAGGTCAGGTACCTGGTTAGTCTCCCCCCCAAAGGGGAGATGTGTGACGAAATGCCTTTTGTCCCTGGATTGTTAGGTGACAAGCTGCCCTTTGCCCCCGGCTTTTGGAGGAGCCTGATTGCCAGCCTCCTTCCTCGTGACTATGGCCCTGGGGTGTATTGCCATTTAAAAAGACTATTTGGGGCTTATTGGCTTCTAAAGACAGTTTCTTCCCATTGGAATCCATGGGAAGGTGTGTTTCTTCCCCTCCCCCGTTTCCTGTCTATTGTTCACCTAGATTGGGCGCTCAGATCCGAGCTATCTGGGGATAGGTTAAATGTGGGGGTTCTGTGTAATATAATAAGAATTATGTATTTTTATGTACTTTTACGTATTTTTGCTGTTAGTGTAAAATGTAGATATTTTCTGTACCTGGAGATAATTGAGTTTACTGCAGTGCCTTAAGCCAATTATCTCCAGGATGGAGAGGAGGGATTTCATTGTTTATGTGAGAGGGTTATCATGTTAATTAGTGTTCCCATTGGTTTGTGTCCCTTTTGTCACAGTTTACCACCAGGTCCAGGGGGTGTGCCTCTGACCTGAAAACTTGTATATAAGGAGTAATAAACGCTCATTGGAGTCAGATCATCTTGTACCTTCATGAAGTTTCGGCTCATGTTTGGGGGATTGGAGAAACTACACTCTGGGGATTGCTATAATCACTATACTCCCCAGGGTATAATCACTAAGCTCTGCTAAGAGCTTGTTCCTGTTCCTGCTCTCTGGAATTCGGAGAGAGGTCGACCTGCTGGAAGCTGGACCCTGGTCCTGGGTCCAGAGTGGGTGAAGACGGCGAGACCCCAACCAAGCTGCGGCGGTTCGTGAGGTCTGCAGTGGTTATGGTGTCAGGCAGAGTGCTTGGACTCCTCGGAAAGCACTAGGAGCATCCGTCGGCGGAAGGTACCCGGTCGGGGTGCCAGCGGTTCCGTTACACACGGTATATGGAGATAGACACTATACAGGGATGGACACGGTATATGGAGATAGACACTATACAGGGATGGACACGGTATATGGAGATACACCCATACAGGGATGGACATCGCATATGGAGATACAATATACAGGGATGGACACGTATGGAGATACAATATACATGGGATGGACACGTATATGGAGATACACTATACAGGGATGGACACGGTATATGGAGATACACTATACAGGGATGGACACGGTATATGGAGATACACTATACAGGGATGGACATGGTATATGGAGATAGACACTATACAGGGATGGACACAGTATATGGAGATAGACACTATACAGGGATGGACACGGTATATGGAGATAGACACTATACAGGGATGGACACGGTATATGGAGATACACTATACAGGGATGGACACGGTATATGGAGATACACTATACAGGGATGGACACAGTATATGGAGATAGACACTATACAGGGATGGACACAGTATATGGAGATAGACACTATAAAGGGATGGACATGGTATATGGAGATACACTATACAGGGATGGACACGGTATATGGAGATACACTATACAGGGATGGACACGGTATATGGAGATAGACACTATACAGGGATGGACACAGTATATGGAGATAGACACTATACAGGGATGGACATGGTATATGGAGATACACTATACAGGGATGGACACGATATATGGAGATACACTATACAGGGATGGACACGGTATATGGAGATACACTATACAGGGATGGACACGGTATATGGAGATAGACACTATACAGGGATGGACACGGTATATGGAGATACACTATACAGGGATGGACACGGTATATGGAGATACACTATACAGGGATGGACACGGTATATGGAGATACACTATACAGGGATGGACACGGTATATGGAGATACACTATACAGGGATGGACACGGTATATGGAGATACACTATACAGGGATGGACACGGTATATGGAGATACACTATACAGGGATGGACACGGTATATGGAGATACACTATACAGGGATGGACACGGTATATGGAGATACACTATACAGGGATGGACACGGTATATGGAGATACACTA